AATAGTTGATCTTGTGATATAATTTTATTTATTTTTCTTTTGCTCTTTGATGATGACTTTTACTTGATTTGCATGACAAAAATGGAAGGCTTGTTTAATGGATCACCTATATATCAGTTTTTTGACTTTTAAAGCCATTGTTGTTTGCATCATTGCTTTACTCTCTTTTGCCTTTCATCCCATTTTTCAATACTTCATAATATAAAATCTGGTTAGATATGATTGAATGAAATCATGAAACATTTTATGTATCTTTTATTTTTATCAAAATTTTCAATTATAATATACTAAAATACCAATGAATTTTGCAACCAATAAATTTTGTGGGAATAAACTAAAGAGATTTATATAAAGTTATACACGAAATATAAAATATAACTCCAAGGTAACATATGCATTGATATATAGCAACTAATTAATTATGTTATTAAATGCAAACAAATTAGGAACGGCTTCTCAATACCCACCAATAAAAAGATTCAAAAAAAATTTTCTGTCAATATATCTAACACGATATTGGGGTTGGTAAATAGCAACACATTGACAACAAATCTGTTATTTATAATATATAGCTTGATATGTAAAGCATGTATTTGATTAGCACAATTGCATTGCTTCACTTCACTTGTGCATCCATAAAGTTAGAGCTTGGAGGTTTGAGTGCCACTGTTAACGAATACTCTATGTAGGATTTTTAGGGTTTGATGAAAACATAAGACAACTGACCAAAATCCATGATTAATTCTTAAGGTTTATTACTTCATTCACTAAAAAAAATATTGCCATATTATAACGAAAAATTCAACAGTAATATATTTCAATAGAAATTTCTGCGAATATTGTAATGATATAGCTTTCATTGGATTGATTTTAGATATTCTAATGAAAATATTCTATTGGAATGAGTTTTCCATTGGAAATTTAGTTGGAACTTGATGATTGAACGACTTTTCGTTGAAATTATTATTTCCTCTCATATTTTAACCGTTGAATAATTTACCATTGAAATAGTCAAAAATCTAATAAAAATTCCAATAAAAAACATATTCCAACGGAATATTCTTTTTGCAATCCACTAAAAAATTCCAATGAAAATAATAATATTGGAATATCCATTTGAATTATCGTTGAAATTTTATGGGAATATAGTTCCATTAAAATTTTTTAATTGAAATATCACCATTTTCTTGTAATGATAACCCCTCTTTTGGTTTCTTTATTCAGTACCTACTATAGAGGAAGACAAATAATTTGTGCACACCCTAAGTGCTTTTAGGCTTGTAGCATAGGAACTATTTTTGCATTTTGACTTCACTCTTTTAGTTGTCTATGTGTTTGGTATTGTAAGAAAAATTGGTCTCGTACTAATTATACGATTCTACTCTTCACAAGTAGAAGATTTAAAATAAAATCTTAAAACCATTTTAGTTTGAACGAGAATTTAATTATGGTACGTAAAAGACCTTCGATCGGCTTTGTAATATCCCATTCAGTAATTAATAAAAGTAATTAAGTTGTAAGTTAGAACTATTTTACTTTTATTAATAATGATCTTTTATATTTCCAAACCTTAATAATCTCTTAGAATTTTATTATTCATTTTAAGGTCAAGGTCAATACATTAATTTGGAAGTATAATTTAGCAAAAGTTGGTCTTATAAGTAAATTAAGCTCAGTTTAAGTTATCAGTGCCAAGAAATTCCTAAGTTATAGTCGAGCCTTAGTATTAAATACTTAGAATTTTTCTAAGTGTTTAATTAATCAAGATAATGAAATGAACCGTTCAGTTAATAACTAGAACTGATTCACTTGGCTCGAGATTAAAGTAAAATCGGAATCGTTTTTCGATAAATTGAGTTAGTCGAGTAAATGTTAGTGCCTAATTATTTTATGTGATGTATATGATTTGATAAGTTATAAGGAGTAAGTAGAAATTATTTAGACAAGAAGGTCTATTTATATTATTAAGAGTATATTCGAAATTATATTCGCAAGTTTCGAGTCCGATTTCGTTTCCAAAAATTTTATTATCTTGGATTTTTTAACATGTTCCAAGATCATTATTAAGATTTAAAATGTTCACCACTAAAAATGCAAAAAGCAAAAGAGGAAAAATCAGAAATTTTTAGAATTTTCGATTTTACGAAAAACGTTCGTTTTAAATCAGAACTCGGTTCCGTAAATTGGAGAATTTTCATTAAGTCTCAAATTTAATCATTGAGATCACATTAGGATCAGGAGAGGGGCCTTTCTCAGCATTGACTATAGGTTGGAGAAGTTTACAAGTTAAGAATACTATTTATTATCTATATTTATTTTTACAAGTTTGTATTGTTTAATTTGTTAATTTCTTCACTCAATGTTATTGTCTCAAACATTTTGCCTATAAATAGAGGCCTTGATTTCAGAGATTTTCATCAAAGAAGAATTACAAAAGTTATATAGTTCATTAGAGAGAATAAGTTATAGAAAAAAAAAAAAAAAATTGTGAAGTGAAGTAATTGGGAAGGGAGGAAGAATCAATTTTCTAGCAAGAAGAAGGTAATATCCTTATCCTAATTTCATACTTTATAGATGAGATTAAATGGTTATTAGTATATACTAATGACTTAGAAGTAAGTTTATAATCAAAGTAATAATACAAGAAGTTAAAGTTGTCTTAAGATTATTTGTATGATAGATGTACTCGGTTTTAATGAGATTCTTATAATGATAAGAATAAACCAGTAAAGTATGATTTAAATGAATAATTCTTATGTAAATAAAGAGTACATAAGAAAAATAATCATGTCATTTGGCATAGTATAGCTTGAGTTATAGATTTTTGAAGTTAAGCATGCAAGTTGAATTTTATGTTCTTTATTTCAGCTGTGACTTTAAAATTCTAATAACTCGATATATATGCATGATAAATTATGAAATTTTTACGACATGCTTATATATGGGTTAAGAACATGACTGCCAAATTTCATGATTTTATGTTGAGAAATGAACGAGTTAAAATATTTATATGGCATACATGTCAAGATGATTTTATATGCAAGAGTATTCTGTACATGGTTGAATTTTTTAAGTGGAATTTTTAGGAAATGTTCTTATATGAGTGATGAGCAATTTGACCAAGTTTCAGTGCAATATGTTGAGTAGGTGATTTTATAAAATTGTTTCAAGTCTAGTATATCAATATCATAATTTATTGTTATGATAAAAACTTGTATTGAATGAGCATCAAGTTTGAGATTTTAATACCAAGCAAGTTTAAGACAAGTTTGATAGATTAAAAATCCTTATAAATCATATAGATATATGATGTTGGTAAAAGTTGAAATTGTTTTGATATACTCGGTTATCTATTATGTGAAATTTAACTTATTTTCACTTCCGAGTCATTCTAAGTTTCATATGAGTAAAACAATATTCAAGATTTGGAGTTATGATTTATATGTGAAAGTACTCAATTTTAAGTAAAAGTTAAGAAGAGTTTAAGCTTAATAGTTTAAATTTAGATTTTAGTGAATTTTTAGAGTGTTCATTAAAATCCGGATAATTGAAAGAATCAAGTATTCAAGCATCTTATTGAGTATATGGGTATAGTACTTAGTATATTGATTTATATTTTTATGTAGCTTGAAGATTCAGATATATGATTCAGCACTTACGAGTTTTCAAAAGAAGAAAGGTGGGGACCCAGCCTGGGTATTACATTGACTATAATGATATCATGTCCGAGGTATGTATACAGTTTATACGCTTGGGATGAAGGCTCCAAGTTGCCTTATCAGTACATCCTAAGTTCTGATGGAGGCCATTAGTTGCCTTAGAAATATCCATTAGAATGTGCACACGTATCCGATCATATATCGGCCAGATTACAGATTCAGTTTCAGTTACTGGAACAGATTTCCAGTCCAGATATATACCAACGATTATGATATTGTATTATTATTGTTGTTTACTTTGATATGGGTTATTTTGGTGTACAAAAGGACCAGTACTCAGCCCCATTGTGTTTTTCAGGTAACAAGGTCGGGCCGGAGGTGTGAGCTCGGATGTGGTGGCGATGGTCGTGCACTTGTGGACATTTAATTTATGAACTACTATGTCTGTACAATTATTCACGTTTTTAAGTATTTCCGCTACGCATATCAAGATTTGAACTTGCATGTTATTAAGTATCATATTTCAGACTTTAATCATTTCATTAGTATGAATATGGTTCAGTTTACATGCGAATTTAAATAAATCTGTTTTCTAGTAAGTTAGACAAAGTTTAAAGATAAACGGATTTTAGAAAAGATAAGTTTGAGTAGCATCCCGAGTAAGAGGAAAAATATTTCGAAAAATTTATAAGTATTTTCGAAGTAAAAGTTGCGAAAAATTTACTCTGATAAGCGGGGTATTACAGGCTTGGTTCGACCTGATGCGCCTTTCCTCGCCAATGGAAGACCTTCAACACCTGCAAAAACTCAATCCTGAGTGGTTTTCCGGTGAAAAGACTTTGATGCTTAAGTTAGAGTTATGTAAGAGATGATGAATAGTAGTTTCAGTAGTAAAAAGTGTTGAGCAGAAAGACTTAACCTACCACACCCCTTTATATAGAGGTGTTGTATCTTGTTCCCCAAGCTTGTCCAAAGAGTTGACCTAGCTGCCTCAGCTTCCCATCCGTACGACTTGCACTGCCCGAGACGCAAGACTTGTCAGGTGGTCAGACGACCCTATTTTATGGTGACACGTGGTCCAATCCATAAACGACGTTGCTACCAAGTTAGATGCCTTTTTGTCCGTCCGTCTTCTT